GGCAGGGAGCCTGCTTCTCCCCTCGCCTGCAACTTCCCTTGTTTGTGCTCTCGCTCCCTCTCTCTCTCTCTCTCTGTCTGACAAAGAAGTAAATAAAACCTTAAAAAAAAAAAAAAAAGGAAAGAAAGAAAGGAACAAGGGTCAATACTTTGGACTGGACAATGCTGGAAGGTTAGCAAAACTTATTTCTATGTGTGAGATCATTAAATACATCTTAGGTATCTCTTGCTATAGTATCTTTAATCTATTTTAAAACATGTATACTGAGGGAATGTAATAGTGTATATGAGCCAGTTAAAGCTTCAACTTTAGGGGCAGTCAACTGTCCTAATACCTATACCTCAGGGATGGTAAGACAGCACTATGTAAGAAAGGCCATACTTCCTCAATTTCTTTCATAAGTATTCTGTAATTTTTAGAGTACAGATCCTTTACCTCTTTGGTTAGGTTTATTTCTAGGTATCGTATGGTTTTGGGTACAATTGTAAATAGGATCTATTCCTTAATTTGTCTTTCTCCTGTTTCATTATTTGTGTATAGAAATGCAACTGATTTCTGTGCATTGCTTTTATATCCTGCCATGTTGCAGAATTCCTGATCATAGGGGAAGGGAGGGAAAACTGAATGGGAAGTAATCAGAGAGGGAGAAAAACCATGAGAGACTCTTGACTATAGGAAACAAACTGAGGGTTGCTGGAGGGGAGGTGGTAGGGGAATGGGGTAACTGGGTGACGGGCATTAAGGAGGGCACGTGATGTGATAAGCACTGGGTGTTATATGCAATTGATGAATAACTGAACTCTACATCTGAAACTAATGATGTACTATATGTTGACTAATTGAATTTAAATATAGAAAAAGAGGCCATACTTCAGGGGCAGTTATTACAAGTTACTAGATCAGTAACTGAGGCTTTGCTAATTAGCATTCTAATATGTCAAGTGGGCATTTACTGGTGAAACTAAAAGGATACAAGACACGTGGAGTAGCTAAAATCTCTTAGAGATGCTCCACTCCACCCCTGTGCACAGACAGCATAAAAACTTAGGGGAATCTATAGCTTGATCTTTAAGGACGCTGCCAGAGGCTTAGTCCCTAACTGGTCCTCGGTCCAGCTACCAGCTGAGTTCGATTTCTAGTTGCCAGCTACAGATTATAAGGGTAACAGATTCCTACCTCTGTGATGTGTTTGCCTCAAACTGGAACAAATCTTTCAGACAAGATACTGAGGAGAGTCCCAAAAGGACAGAGAGCTAGATAACCTCAGGTTTACAAAGCAGGCTTTTCAAACTGTTTAATTCCCTGGCCAATAAATAGTTGTATTATAAACATACATATATGAAGGAGAATGATATCAGAAACTTGTTTCCATTTGATCCGATAGTAGAATTACTCTACTCCTGGTGTGCCAAGCAATATTACTCACAGCACCCCCTTCCACTCTCAAAGGTATCACAGTTTGGATGATAAATTATGTGGATATTCTACCTAGTGGTGAGACTGTAGGGGACAAAACCGAGCCCTATGAAATTTCAAACTGCTCTGCAGCTACTATTTTCTACCAAAACGATCCTGGAGCTGTGACGACCACACTGACTCCCGAAGTACGGATGGAATGCTGTATACAAACTTCAATCTCTTTTCACCAAACTCAACTACAGAGCTATAGGATACTCTCATCATGAAAATAACAGGCTAGATGACTTGAATCAATCCTCCCATTGAGAGTAATTTAAAATGCGGGGTAAAATATATTTATCAAATATCTGAAAAGCATCAAAAAACAGCCAAGAGGGGAATTACCATACTAAACAAGAGAGAATGCAGAAAAACGAGCCAGTTCAGAAACTGCTTTAGCCCTATCCCAAGGAACCTGAACTTTCTATTGACAGCCTGATGGAGCCAAAGGCCAAACATTAAAGCTGAGGGACCACACAAAGTAGAGATTCTAGCCTTAGGTGACAATAAACTGGAACTCAAAGGGCTATGCACCCAGGGAAGTCAACTCAGCAATGGATGAGCAGTTAGCATTGCCTCAGGGGATCCCCAGAGCTTGATTTAAGGAGATCCTAAAGGCATAATGACCCTAAGCTCTAGCACACTAGGTAAATCATTTCTGAAAAGCACCTTCATCCTAGACTTTAAATTATTCTAAACCATTGGAGTGTTTCTGTTTTGTTTTGTTTTGTTTTTTCCAGAGATGGCACACCAGTTTCACCCTTCCCGTTGGAAAACTGTGACAATTTACAGGATAGTTTAGAAGATACCAGAACACACTGCCAACTGCATTAGAGCTGCTCACGTCCTCACTGTAACCTTTGTGCGCATGTGCGCACATGCACACTCGCCGTTAATTATTTGGGACTGCCTCACCTGTATTGCCACATTAGTGAACTTAGTCAAGAAACCGATCCTGTCTTCCCTCTCTGCCCTTTGACTCAATATGCCACTGAGGACTCTACATGTGCCCATTGCAGAAAATAACCTTTGAGTCTGAGCAGGGTGTGGTGCTCAGCGGACATGGTGGCAAGACCACGATTAGACTTTTGGCACCTCTAATCCAAACCTTCCACGCTAATTACTCTAACATGGCGCTTTAAAAATAGAAACATTACAAAGTAAACTCAACCTTAACCTTTTTTGGAGTTTTGGTGAGAGAAAAAGAGAAAAAAAATTTCTGCTTTGTTACATATACTCTGTTTTCAAGATACCAATGCTGGTTGTAGAAAAAGCACCATCTTGAGAAAGCAGCTCCCGTGAATGAAAAGAACAGGACCAGGGAGTGAAGAGGGCTGGGCCCAAGCTTAGTCTGTTCCACTAACGTGCTTTGCGACCTTGAAAAAGAAACCTAACCACCAAAAAGGTCTTCGTTTGCTCTTCTACAAGATGACACTAGAGGTCTGGATAAATTCTGTGGCTGCTTCTACAACCAAAATCAATGATGTTTATGCTTCTGTGGATTTCTCAGTGGAGGCATATCCTGATAGAAGTCAAGTTTATTCTAGAGGCCATGAGTGACTCTCACATGTAAATCATGGTTCCAGACAACATACTGAGACAGAACAGGACTTTGTTCACTGCAAGGCATACCACTTGCTTCTTCAGACTTAAATTTTAAAGCAGCTGTTTTTTAGAAAACCATGTACAGGGTTTCAAAGTGACTCAAGCAATCACTTCACATCCTAATAGGATAAAGTTTATGCATAATTCTGTGTGACCCTTCAACTACTGACGTTCATGCCATGTTATTGTTAGCATTGCATGTTAAACTAGCAAGTTTTCAATGAACTCTCACTGGCTTTACCACAGACACAGATGTTAGGCGGACTCCTTTGTTCATAAGGTTCTCATTATTAACTCAACCCGGGTTGAATATTTGACTGAAGGAAAGGACCATATCATTATTTTCAGATTTCATTCTATGACTTAACTGGGCTACATCTGCCAGCTTTAGAAACGCCAAGTACTTCTTGGCGCCAGCCTTGGCGTCCTGTTCTGTGACTACTACCCTCAATGCTTCAGTTTGAGGAAGTCTCCTCACCATCAAAACAGTTTAATAAAAACTTAAATTATGATTAAGAGTTACTCATCAATTGACAGAACATACCAGGCTTGTGCTATTTATGAATTATTCCACACAGTATTTTAAGGCTAACAAATAGAATCCACATTCATAAAGGGGTAAGCTAGAAAGCCAGTTAAATGTTTTCATGATTTATAAAGTCTGGGTTATACTTGAAACCATATTTCTTTAATAGGTAAACTGGCATTCCATTGGATAAATCAATCTGCTTTAAATCTATTCTAAGGCTCTGGACAGCTTATGAGACGTTCTCAATATAAATATATTTCCTCTATTCACCTTTGGGCAATATCTCTCAGCATAAATGTGATAGGAAGATATGGCACAGGAATGCCTGTCAATTATAGGGTGGATTTCAAGTATTTAAAATATTGACGCTAAAGCCACTTACAAAACGTTAAAATCAGCCTAACTCTAAACAGGGAGAATATTTTATAAGGCTGGTTAAAGATATAAATTAAAACAACAACATAAAAGAAATAACAAAAGGCCCTGATATGACTGCTTCCATGTGTCTGGATCACCAACAATAATATAAGTGGGCAAGAATCATTTGAAACTATCTTTGATGGTTATTAGAAAAAAATAATTCAATCCCTCTATGCATAGAAAAGCCCAGGGGTTTACATATAGTCATACCAAATGATTGAAAGAAGAGGGACAGTTTTCCACCCTAAAAAGTTATACATAATAAATTTGCTTTTGTGATTCTTTCAGCATCTCATCATATCTGGGGACAAGAGGACTAAGAACATGCCCCCTCACCTGTCCAATGCTTTATAGACATCCGCAACAAACGATCATTCAGCCTCTTGAACACTTGAGTTTTCATTTAATTACTATACATGGCAATCCAGTCTACTATTTGACATCTCTAATCATAAAAAGATTCTTAAAATAATAACAATAAAACAAGCATCCATGTAACTCCCACACTGGTTGAAGACAATCTGTTAGAAAATTTATGTTAGCTCATCAAACACTTGAGATTCAAGTCTCAACATATTTATCTCTCCAGTACACTATTTTCAGGTATTTTCAATGGCTGAGACATACCACTATCACTCCTGCTTATCAGTCACTCTTTGAGCATGGCATCCTGAAGAAAATACGTCAGATATAGTCTAATTCACTACAGAGCACAGTGGGACCAGTATTTCTGATGAATTAAAAATGAAATATTTATTAATGCAGACGAAATATGTCACACAAGAATCAGGCTTTTAGCAAAATATAGAAACAACATAAAAGTCAAGTTACTAGTAACCCCTCCAGAAACGATCATGGTAGAAAGTTTGGTAGTACTTACAGGAAACATACTAATCTCAAAAACTCTAAAATAACTTTACCACCAAACAGCACATCTGTCACCCCAAATCTGGGTATTCAAAAGCTGAATTTTTATGTTTATACTCACCATGTTGTATATCTTTCATATCTAAATGAAGGCTAGACATTAATATTCCAACTGCTTGTGATCTTTTGTTGCTTAATAACTTGACCACCTGCTCAAAGAAAGGAAAAGGGGAAAATGTTAATTTGAATTCCAATGATATACTTGATAACATGTTCTTTTTAATCCTAAATGAAGAACATATAGCTTAACGTCATTACTTTAAGTATTCCAAACTGATCTGGAAAGAACTTTCATGTTTTATGTCTTCCATCTTTAAAATCCACCATCCTCAGCCATCAGCCTCAACGGCAGGCTCTTTACCAGTTTTTTAAGAGACTGATCTGGGGACACCTGGGTGGCTCAGTCATTAAAAGTCTGCCTTTGGCTCAGGTCATGATCCCAGGGTCCTGGGATCGAGCCCCCCGTTGGGCTCCCCGCTCGGCGGGAAGCCTGCTTCTCCCTCTCCCACTCCCCCTGCTTGTGTTCCCTCTCTCACTGTGTGTCTCTCTCTCTGTGTCAAATAAATAAATAAAATCTTAAATAAATAAATAAATAAATAAGAGACTGATCTGTCAGCGAGTCAAATTTCTAATAGTTTAGGATATTAGTTTGGTCTCCATGAAATAACAATTACACATTTGATAATTTGCAGCCTGAGATTTTAAGTGTTCCTTTCATAATGTCGGGCCTTAAAACACTGGTCAACAAGCAAAGGGTAAAGTCTACACACAGAGAATCTGTTAGATCAGACCTGTTTGAGCACAAAAGAGAAAACATCCTTTGATTCTGGTCCTTCAGAAAGCTCACTGTCTTACTGACAGTCCCTCTCATTCTGCATTTGGCCCACATTTTGTGGGGAACTTTCCAACTAATTAATAGAGGAATACAAGCAGCAAATTCAAAGGGCTATGTCTGCTCAATCTCAAATCTGGCTTTCCAGAGAGTCCTAACGAGTCAGTCAATCCACACACCCCACAAGAAGTTTTCCTAAAATAGAGGTGGGCATGCTGCTTTGGACATACACATTTAAACTATGTTTTCCAGACACTGACACACCACTGATAAATCCTGCTTATGAAACCATTATCCCAGGTCCTGAAGGGCAGCAATTTCTATTTACTGTCATGGTTTTGTTATAAGTCTGCTTAGAGGAAGCACTGGAGGAAAAGGGGAAAAAAGGTTATGGTCTGATTATCAGAAGTGATAGCTGCCCTAATATCTATCACATTTGTTGACCTTGTCTTTCTTTTTTGTTTAAGTTGTGCCGGTCAGTAAACTAATAAAATAATCATGTCCAGCTGTCACACAAAGTTTCAGAGTAAAACAATATTCTTAACAGCAATAATAGCATTCTTGGTTCCCCAGCAGGGATGGGGGTAGAGAACAAAACAAACACTTTCAGAAGGACCAACCACAAAAACCTCCACACTCATTTCCGCAAGCTTCTTGTAGAAAGGAATAATACCCCACAAGAGACCGTGCTTCCTCAAAAGAATGTATATGTACACACACACATACACACACACATATGTATATAAATTTTGATTCTTAATTTGCTCTTCAAACATTTTATTAAAGTTCAGCTACAATATTACCTTAGAACTTGAATACGAATCCATTCATACCCCAAGTATTTCTATCAATAATGTTATCTTCTTCAGAAGTGAATAGAAACTTAATATCAGAAAAACAAAAGGCATGTATTCTGTCCTCAGAAACATTTTCTAATGTCAGGTAAATACAATCTGGGCCCAATCCGTGGTACTCTGACAAAACTAAATGCATTGACATCCATATGTCAATTGACCTTTCTGCAGTGCTGACAGGCTGATCACATCCTTATAGAAACTCTTTATTCCACAGCTCCTGGCAGCCCTTCTCGGGCCTTTTCAAGGTGAATTATTCTGATTTCACCTTAAATACTGGCATATTTCAGAGTTCTGTTCTGAGTACTTTATTCTGTTGACTTTATGACCTATAATTTCTCTTCTATAGACATACATGCCAACACTTATAAATTCATTCTTATAACTGTAACTTCAACTCTACAGTATCCTACTTTCCTAACAGATATCTGCACATAAATCTCCATTTGACATGTCTAAGACCAAACTCGTCATCAGGTCCACCCCAAAACCTATCCATCTTCTCCTCTTTTATTCCATATGTTGAGATAATGGCACCACCATTTTCCACCCACCTACTAAAGTTAGAAATCTCGAAATCAATCTAGACTCTTCTAGACTAGACTCTACCTCTACTTCATCTGTATACTCTGGTCTGTTAACAAGTCCTATCAATTGTAACTCCTCTATATTTTTGGAACCCACCCTTCCTCTTCAACTCTATTGTCAGCATTTATTTCTATGTTTTATCTTACATAGATCAATGCAAAAAATTTCTAACTAGCCTCCCAAATCTAGTGCAGTAGCTCTCAACATGTGCTCTCTGGACCAGCAGGCATGATCATCACCTGGGAACTTTTTAAAAATGCAAAATCATGGGCCCTATCACAAACCTACTAACCAGAAAGTGTTGGCAAAAACAGATTTTCCTCAATCTGCACTTCAGAAAACCTTTTAAGTGACTCTAGAATCACTGATAACTCCCACTGCTTCCTGTCCATTCTCCAAACTGATTTCCAAGTACCATCTCTAAGAGTGTTGATATTTGCATGTCCTTCCTTGCTCTTTAAACCTGAGTGGCTCATATTTACATGTTAGTCTTTTAAAAGGTCATACAGACTTCCAGTCCATGAGCATGGAATATCTTTGCATTTGTTTGTGTCATCTTCAATTTCTTTCAGCAATTTTTTTATAGTTCTCAGAGTATAGATTGAAAGAATTAATATTGTTAAAATGTCCATACTACCCAAAGGAATCTAGATTCGATGCAATCCCTATCAAAATACCAATACAATTTTTCATAGAACTAGAACAAATAATCCTAAAATTAGTATGGAACCACAAAAGACCCTGAGTAGCCAAAGCAATCTTGAAAAAGAAGAACAAAACTAGAGGTTATCACAATCCCAGATTTCAAGGCACACCACAAAGCTATAATAATCAAAACAGTATGGTACAAAAACAGACATATAGATCAATGTAACAGAATAGAAAACCCAGAAATAAACTCACAATTATATGGCCAATTAACCTACAACAAAGGAGATAAAAATATACAAGACAGTCTCTTCCGTAAATGGTGCTGGGAAAACTGGACAGCTACATGCAGAAGAATGAAGCTAGACAACTTTCTTACACCATACACAAAAACAAACTCAAAGTGGATTAAAGACCTACATGTGAGACCTGAAACCATAAAACTCCTAGAAAAGCAACATAGGCAGTAATCTCTTTGACATGGGCCTTAGCAACATTTTTCTAGATATGTCTTCTCAGGCAAGGGAAACAAAAGCAAAAATAAATTATTGGAACTACACCAAAATGAAGAGCTTTTGCATATGAAGGAAACCATCAACAAAATGAAAAGGCAACCTACTGAATGGGAGAAGATTTTGGTAAATGATATATCCAATAATATATAAAGAACTTATATAATTCAGTACCAATAATAATAATAATAACCCAATTAAGAAATGGGCAGAAAACCTGAATAGACATTTTTCCAAAGAAGACATACAGATGACCAAGAGGCACACAAAAGGATGCTCAACATCACTAATCATCAAAGAAATGCAAATCAAAACCACAATGAGGTATAACCTCACATCAGTCAGAATGGCTAGTATGAAAAAGACAAGAAATAATAAGTACTGGTGAGGATATGAAGAAAAAGGAACACTCATGCACTGCTGGTGGAATGTAAATTGGTGTGGCCACTGTGGAAAACAGTGTTGAGGTTCCTCAAAAAATTAAAAATAGAAATACCATATGATCTAGTAATTCCACTACTGGGTATTTATCCAAAGGAAATGAAAACACCAATTTGAAAAGACATATGCACCCCAATGTTTACTGCATTATTTACAATAGCCAAGATATGGAAGCAAGCTAAGTGTCCACTGACTGATGAATGGATAAAGAAGATATGGTATATACATACACTGGAATATTACTTAGCCATAAAAAAGAATGTAATCTTGCCATTTGTGACAATATGGTTGGACCTATAGGTTATTGTGCTACGTGAAATAAGTCAGAGAAAGACAAATGCCATATAATCTCACTTACATATGGAATCTAAAAAAGAAAACGCATGAACAAACAAACAAACAAAAATAGACCCACAAACAGAGAACAAATTATTGGTTGTCAGAGGGGAAGAAGGTGGGAGGATGGGCAAAATGGGTGAAGAGGAGTGGGAGAGACAGGCTTCCCATTAAGGAATGAATAAATCATAGGAATAAAAAGTATAGCATGAAGAATATAGCCAATGATTCTATAATAGTGACGTATGGGGACAGATGGTAGCTACACTTGTGGTGAGCACAGCATAACATATAAAGATGTTGAATCATTATGCTGTACACCTGAAATTAATGTAACACTGTGTGTCAACTATACGTCAATCTAAAAAATAAAATAAAATGTCACATAGACTGTTCACTTGCTTTTCCTGTTATAATTCAAATGAACTTACTATAAACTATTATTTTACATTTAAATCCCTAAGATTATAAGTAGGAATAACTATCCATCACTTTCTAGAAGGCATATACACAGGAAAGGACAGATGTTTAAAAGGATCGACTCTATAGTTCCCTAGAGTAACTCAACTTTTATATTACAAACCATAGTCATTATTTTTCTTTCTTTTAAAAAACACCCTGGATGGGGCACCTGGGTGGCTCAGTCAGTTAAGCAGCTGCCTTCAGCTCAGGTCATGATCTCAGGGTCCTAGGATGGAGTCCTGCATCACTTCTCCCTCTGCCGCTCTCCCTGCTTGTTCTCTCTCTCCCTCTCTCTTTCTCTCTGACAAATAAATAAATAAAATCTTTAAAAAAGAAACACCCTGGATAACAAGAACCTGAAACTATCAAACTAGAACATTCTCAGAATCCAGGTACTACAGGTGCAACGGAGAGGAGAGAGTTGACTCTTAGAAATTGATCTCAGAAAACTTAGTTGAAAAATGGAAAATGCAGAA